GCCTCCCAAAGTGCTGGGATTACAGGCTTGAGCCACCGCGCCCGGCCACAAGAGTGAAACTCTGTCTAAAAAAAATAAAACCCACAGACAACCTCAAGAAAAGACAAAGTAAAATCTGTAGGGCCAAAAAGGCCTTGAATTAATCCCTGAGTCTGCCAGTTACTCAGTGTGGTGCTGAGCCAGACACTGGACTTCGCTGAGCCTCATATATGAGACGTAAAATACATCACCTATCTCGTACATTGTTGGAAGGAACAGAGATTGTATATTAAGTCCCTATATCTTCAGAGTAAATGTCAGCTATTCACAGTTTTAGAATTCAGCCAGCCAGTTCAAAATTCTAATAGGGAAAAGTTTGTCCTAAGTCTCATTCCCACACCGTACTCCCAACAGATAACCATTTTTTTGTTTTTGTTTTTGAGACAGGGTCTGGCTCTGTCTCCCACACCACACTCCCAACAGATAACCATTTTTGTTTTTGTTTTTGAGACAGAGTCTGGCTCTGTCTCCCAGGCTGGAGTGCAATGGCACAATTATGGTTCACTGCAGCCTTGACCTCCTAGGCTCAAGAGATCCTCCCACCTCAGCCTCCCATGTAGCTGGGACCACAGGTACACTCCACGACTCCTGGCTAATGTTTTTATTTTCTGTGGAGATGGGGGGGTCTCATTTTGCTGCCTGGCTAGCCTCAAACTCCTGGGCTCAAGTGATCTTCCTACCTCAGCCTCCCAATATGCTGGGATTACAAGCATGACCCATTATGCCCAGCCTCAGATAACCATTACTGGTGTCTTGTATAATTTTCCAGAGTTTCTTTATGCATGAGTATATGTTATTTTCCCAACACTAAAAAATAGCCTTTGGTTTCTTATTAATAGGGATATTAATTATCTCCATATTTTCAGATTCAGAAATTTGGCTTTCAGATATTTTTGACTTGGTTCCAACAACTAATGTGGCAATAAATAATTCTGTATATATGTCACATCAAACAGATGTAAAGTGTTGTATGTAAGGTACATTTTCAGAATTAGGATCACTGGGTCAAAGTACATATGCATTCATAATTTTACCAGCTATTACTAAGTAGCCATTACTATTAATGTAATCTAACAAGGAAGCAGCTGACCTTGACATCTTCATTGGATGTCTCATGGACAGAACAAACTTGGCAACTCCTAAACAAATTTCTTGGTTCCCCTACTTTCCCACAAAGTTGTCTTTCTGCTTTGGCCTTCTTCCCTTCTTGGTAAATGACATAATGTCTAGCCGGTTATTCTGGATAGAAATCTGGTGGTCATTTGTTTTGTTTTGTTTTGTTTTTTGAGGCAGGGTCTCACTCTGTAGCCCAGGCTGCAGTGGCATGATCATGGTTCACTGCAGCCTTGATCTCCTGGGCTCAAGCAATCCTTCCACCGCAGTCTCTCCTGTAGCTGGGACTAAAGGCATATGCCACCACACTCAGCTAATTCTTGATGTTTTGTAGAGACGAGGTCTTGCTATGTTGCCCAGGTGGGACTACTTTTTCTTTAAACTTTTAAAAATCTAGATTATAAGAACACTTTGGTACATGCACTGTTTTGGAACACCAAAGGGAGTAGATTAGACGAGCTCTAAGGATTCTTCCGGCTGCAACTCCATCAGACCATGTAATGGGAAAATAACGAGATGGCAGAGTGGCATGAGCTGCTTCCCACCCTTCCTGAGGCCCACTGTCAAGCTCGGACAGAAATGCCCAGTGGAGAAACAGCTGCTGCCAATGGCTGTTCCTGCCCAGACTGGAAATGTACTGTCGGCTTTTATTTTAAGGACTACAACATTCCATGGCAAACTGGAAGCTCAGTTCCTGACACTCAATTTGGCAGAACTCTAAATCTATCTAATTCACTCTAGGTCTCTCTTCCATCCTCAACCTGTCCCTCCAAAAAGAGTACTCAAGCAACTCACAAAGTATCTTATTTGACTTATATATCAAAATGAGCTTGCTTTGCCAGACCCACATTCTTTGATCATTCCTACCTGAAGACCAGGCCAGTAGGCCTCCAAGGACTGGAAGACTGGCATGGACACGGTCCCCTTGTACATCTGCACCCACAGGTACCAGTCATCGAAGCGGGTGTAGTTCCGGATGGCTTTGTTATACTCTGCAGTGGGGGAGGTGAGATCACGGACATATGAGTGATTAAGAGAGGCCTGGACAAAAGGCAGGCCTGGATAGCAGATGTGAGGACTTACACTTTTGAAAGAGTGCCAGGATGCAATGAGGCAAGCTGACTAGAAAGGAGCATGGATTCTGGAGTCAAACTTCCAGGCTCAAATTCCTGGATTTCCAGCTCTAGCACTTGCTAGCTGTGACCTGGGGCAGGTCTTTCCCTTGTAAGTCGCAGCCTTATTATCTATAAAATGGGGAAAGTAATTGATATGGTTCGGTTGTGTCCCCACCTACATCTCATGTTGAATTGCAGCTCCCATAATTCCCATGTGTTGTAGAAGGGACCTGGTGGGAGATAACTGAATCATGGTGGTGGTCTCCCCCATACAATTCTCGTGGTAGTAAGTCTCATGAGATCTGATGGTTTTATCAGGGGAAACCCTTTCACTTGGCTCTCATTCTCTCTTGCCTGCCACCACATAAGATGTGCCTTTTGCTTTCCGCCATGATTGTGAGGCCTCCCCAGTCATGTGGAACTGTGAGTCCATTAAACTTCTTTTTCTTAATAAATTACCCAGTCTTGACTGTGTCTTTATCAGCAGTATGAAAATGGACTAACACAGTAATGTTATGTAGCTGTGGGAACTTTCAGTCATTTATTTATAAAACAAACATTTGCTGAGCACCTACTAGGTACCAAGTACCTATATGGTTGTAAACAAGACAAAGTCCAGCCCTCAGAGAACTTACATTCTAGTGGGAACTTGCATTTATCCCTCATATCTCTCCCCTAGATTGTAAATCCATGAGGCCTGGGACCTTGCTTTGTTCCTTGCAGAATCCCCCACATTAGTACGAGCAATAAATATTTTCTGAATGGACAAAGTGCCAAATATACATGCAAATAAATAAGATAACAAGAGTTGTAAGGATGATATGAAGCAGTCCATGTTCAGAGCTTGGCACAATGCTTGCCACATCCATGGTATTCAAGAAATATTTTTTGAATAAATGAGTACAGTAGTCTCCCCTTATTTGAGGGGAATACTTTCCAAGACCCTCAGTGGATGTCTGAAACCATGGATAGTACTAAATCAACTCTATATACAGTCATGCGCCACATAACAACATCTCGGTCAACACCGAACTGTATAGATGGTGGTGGTCCTGTAAGATTATAATAGAGCTGAAAAATTCCCACAGCCTAAAGATATCGTAACTGTTGTACTTTTATAATGCAATGCATTATTCACGTGTTTGTGGTGATGCTGGTGTAAACAAATCTACTGTGCTGCCAGTCATAAAAGTATAACATATACAATTATATACAGTACACGATATTTGATAATAAACAACTATTTATTGTTTTATGTATTTACTATACCATACTTTCATCATTAGAGTACTCTTTCCACTTATATAAAAAGGTCAACTGTGAACAGCTTCAGGCAGGTCCTTTGAGGAATTCCAGAAGGCATTGTTATCGTAGGAGATGACAGCACTCAGTATTACTTCCCCTGAGGACCTTCTACTAGGACAACATGGGGGAGTGGAAGACAGTGATATTGATGATCTTGACCCTCTGTGGGCCTAGGCTAATGCATGTTTGTATCGTAGTTTTTAACAAAAAAGTTTAAAAGGTAAAAACAAAATAAAAATAGAAAAAAAACTCAGTGAATAAGGATATTAAAAAATATCTCTGTATAGCTATACAATTTTTTTTTTTTTTTTTTTTTTTT